ACTTGCTTACCTCTTGACCTTGCTTGTACTGTGATCACTATATATATATGCCTACTTGTTTACTTTTGCTAGGTTGTGATCACTGTATCTCTTGCTTTGTTATAAACCTGCATGTGAACTGGTCTTGTGACCGCTTGCTTGTGCTCGGAATTTGTGTGGAATCCTTGAGATCCACCCTGAGCTTGCTTTGCTTTGCTTTGACTGGTCTTGTGACCCTGTGGTTGTCTCCCACTGCGCCTATGGGGGTGTGTCAAACATTGCATGTTTATATTATGTAGGCTGTAGTGGGTTACACCTTAGGGGGTACTCAAAGTTAGGGTTTCCTACTTGTACCAAACTCTGTGCTAGTTCATCCCATTCCTGCTCAGTTATTTCTGACACATGGATATGTCACCCTTGGTCCTGGTCCACTTCACGTGTGGTGACGAGTTGCCGGTGATGGCTGTTGTTGACAGCAGGTTGTGCACCCGCACGATATGGTGCATTGCGTAATTCCAATAGATCGGCGGCAGCTTCGATTGCTTCATCAGCGCCCGCACCTTCGTCATGAGCTTGAAGTTTGTTTGCTCGGCTACACCCTGCTGCTGGTGTGCGTAGCGGAGGGAAATGTGATGCTCAATCCCCTTTTGCGCCAGAAATTCCTGCAGCTCCTTGCTCCTTAACTCCGCTGCGCCATAAGATTGCCAAATCTTTAACTTCTCCCCAGATTGCCGCTGTGCGTGCTCTAGCCAGAGGCAAAACACTTCATATGCTCTGCCGCGCGCTTCCACGTTCATGATCCACACGTTGCGCGTTCAAGCGTCGATAAAAGTGAGCGTGTACAATTCGTCATTGACTCTGCGGTGTCCCACGTTCAAGAAATCGCTGTACACCTTGTACAGCTTGGGGTAGCGGTTGGTTCCCGGCTCAAGCAGCAGGAATGGCTGGTGACTCGGTGCAGCTTCAGAGCAGACGGTGCAGTTGCGCGGATGTGTCGCGCCTCTCACTTCGGTGCCATCTGGGCGCAAGAGCGCGCCAGGAGCGAAAACTCCTGCGTCCGTGCAATTCTCCAGCGTCGCACGCGAGTGATGTCCGAGGCGCTGGTGCTAGGGCGCATTGTCAGCGCGGACACCGGAGGTGCGCATGTAGTGGACGTGGGCTTCTTCGGGGTCTTCGTCACGTACTGGAGCAGGTTCTGATGCTGCTTCTTCTGCTGCTTCGTCTTCGTCGTTGGCGGTAGTTTACATCAACGCCAAGAAACCTCTATGCCCTTGAGGATTCTTGCGCATTCTATGCATTTGTCGCCCAAAACGGCCGAAATCGTGGGCGCCGAACTTTTCTTCGCGCACGAACCAAGCCGAAAATGCTCCAATAGGTGTACTTGAACATGTGCCACTCGAATATGCCATAAAGTTCAGGTTGCTCAACGCTTTTCCCTACGCCTTTGGGGATTCGTGCGCATTCTATGCATTTGTCGCCCAAAACGGTTGAAATTGTGGGTGCCGAATTTTCCTTCGCGCACGAACCAAGCCGAAAATGCTCCAATAGGTGTACTTGAACATGTGCCACTCGAATATGCCATAAAGTTCAGGTTGCTCAACGCTTTTCCCTACGCCTTTGGGGATTCGTGCGCATTCTATGCATTTGTCGCCCAAAACAGCCAAAATCGTGGGCGACGAACTTTTCTTCGCGCACGAACCAAGCCGAAAATGCTCCAATAGGTGTACTTGAACATGTGCCACTCGAATATGCCATAAAGTTCAGGTTGCTCAACGCTTTTCCCTACGCCTTTGGGGATTCGTGCGCATTCTATGCATTTGTCGCCCAAAACGGCCGAAATCGTGGGCAACGAACTTTTCTTCGCGCACGAACTAAGCCGAATGTGCTCCAATAGGTGTACTTGAACATGTGCCACTCGAATATGCCATAAAGTTCAGGTTGCTCAACGCTTTTCCCTACGCCTTTGGGGATTCGTGCGCATTCTATGCATTTGTCGCCCAAAACGGCCGAAATCGTGGGCGCCGAACTTTTCTTCGCGCACGAACCAAGCCGAAAATGCTCCAATAGGTGTACTTGAACATGTGCCACTCGAATATGCCATAATATTCAGGTTGCTCAACGCTTGTCCCTACGCCTTTGGGGATTCGTGCGCATTCTATGCATTTGTCGCCCAAAACGGCCGAAATCGTGGGCGCCGAACTTTTCTTCGCGCACGAACCAAGCCGAAAGTGCTCCAATAGGTGTACTTGAACATGTGCCACTCGAATATGCCATAAAGTTCAGGTTGCTCAACGCTTTTCCCTACGCCTTTGGGGATTCGTGCGCATTCTATGCATTTGTCGCCCAAAACGGCCGAAATCGTGGGCGCCGAACTTTTCTTCGCGCACGAACCAAGCCGAAAATGCTCCAATAGGTGTACTTGAACATGTACTACTCGAATTTGCCATAACGTTCAGGTTGCTCAACGCTTTTCCCTACGCCTTTGGGGATTCGTGCGCATTCTATGCATTTGTCGCCCAAAACGGCCGAAATCGTGGGCGCCGAACTTTTCTTCGCGCACGAACCAAGCCGAAAATGCTCCAATAGGTGTACTTGAACATGTGCCACTCGAATATGCCATAAAGTTCAGGTTGCTCAACGCTTTGACCTACGCCTTTGGGGATTCGTGCGCATTCTATGCATTTGTCGCCCAAAACGGCCGAAATCGTGGGCGCCGAACTTTTCTTCGCGCACGAACCAAGCCGAAAATGCTCCAATAGGTGTACTTGAACATGTGCCACTCGAATATGCCATAAAGTTCAGGTTGCTCAACGCTTTGACCTACGCCTTTGGGGATTCGTGCGCATTCTATGCATTTGTCGCCCAAAACGGCCGAAATCGTGGGCGCCGAACTTTTCTTCGCGCACGAACCAAGCCGAAAATGCTCCAATAGGTGTATTTGAACATGTGCCACTCGAATATGCCATAAAGTTCAGGTTGCTCAACGCTTTTCCATATGCCTTTGGAGATTCGTGCGCATTCTATGCATTTGTCGCCCAAAACGGCCGAAATCGTGGGCGCCGAACTTTTCTTCGCGCACGAACCAAGCCGAAAGTGCTCCAATAGGTGTACTTGAACATGTGCCACTCGAATATGCCATAAAGTTCAGGTTGCTCAACGCTTTTCCCTACGCGTTTTGGGGATTCGTGCGCATTCTATGCATTTGTCGCCCAAAACGGCCGAAATCGTGGGCGCCGAACTTTTCTTCGTGCACGAACCCAGCCGAAAGTGCTCCAATAGGTGTACTTGAACATGTGCCACTCGAATATGCCATAAAGTTCAGGTTGCTCAACGCTTTTCCCTACGCCTTTGGGGATTCGTGCGCATTCTATGCATTTGTCGCCCAAAACGGCCGAAATCGTGGGCGCCGAACTTTTCTTCGCGCACGAACCAAGCCGAAAGTGCTCCAATAGGTGTACTTGAACATGTGCCACTCGAATATGCCATAAAGTTCAGGTTGCTCAACGCTTTTCCCTACGCCTTTGGGGATTCGTGCGCATTCTATGCATTTGTCGCCCAAAACGGCCGAAATCGTGGGCGCCGAACTTTTCTTCGCGCACGAACCAAGCCGAAAGTGCTCCAATAGGTGTACTTGAACATGTGCCACTCGAATATGCATAAAGTTTGTTGCTCAACGCTTTTCCCTATGCCTTTGGGGATTCGTGCGCATTCTATGCATTTGTCGCCCAAAACGGCCGAAATCGTGGGCGCCGAACTTTTCTTCGCGCACGAACCAAGCCGAAAGTGCTCCAATAGGTGTACTTGAACATGTGCCACTCGAATATGCCATAAAGTTCAGGTTGCTCAACGCTTTTCCGTAGGCCTTTGGGGATTCGTGCGCATTCTATGCATTTGTCGCCCAAAACGGCCGAAATCGTGGGCGCCGAACTTTTCTTCGCGCACGAACCAAGCCGAAAATGCTCCAATAGGTGTACTTGAACATGTACTACTCGAATTTGCCATAACGTTCAGGTTGCTCAACGCTTTTCCCTACGCCTTTGGGGATTCGTGCGCATTCTATGCATTTGTCGCCCAAAACGGCCGAAATCGTGGGCGCCGAACTTTTCTTCGCGCACGAACCAAGCCGAAAATGCTCCAATAGGTGTACTTGAACATGTGCCACTCGAATATGCCATAAAGTTCAGGTTGCTCAACGCTTTTCCCTACGCCTTTGGGGATTCGTGCGCATTCTATGCATTTGTCGCCCAAAACGGCCGAAATCGTGGGCGCCGAACTTTTCTTCGCGCACGAACCAAGCCGAAAATGCTCCAATAGGTGTATTTGAACATGTGCCACTCGAATATGCCATAAAGTTCAGGTTGCTCAACGCTTTTCCCTACGCCTTTGGGGATTCGTGCGCATTCTATGCATTTGTCGCCCAAAACGGCCGAAATCGTGGGCGCCGAACTTTTCTTCGCGCACGAACCAAGCCGAAAATGCTCCAATAGGTGTACTTGAACATGTGCCACTCGAATATGCCATAAAGTTCAGGTTGCTCAACGCTTTTCCCTACGCCTTTGGGGATTCGTGCGCATTCTATGCATTTGTCGCCCAATACGGCAGAAATCGTGGGCGCCGAACTTTTCTTCGCGCACGAACCAAGCCGAAAGTGCTCCAATATGTCAGAAATAACTGAGCAGGAATGAATGAACTAGAACAGAGTTTGGTACAAGTAGGAAACCCTAACTTTGTGTACCCCCTAAGGTGTAACCCACTACAGCCTAGACAATATAAACATGCAATGTTTGACACACCCCCATAGGCGCAGTGGGAAACAACCACAGGGTCACAAGACCAGTCAAAGCAAAGCAAAGCAAGCTCAGGGTGGATCTCAAGGATTCCACACAAATTCCGAGCACAAGCAAGCGGTCACAAGACCAGTTCACATGCAGGTTTATAACAAAGTAAGAGATACAGTGATCACAACCTAGCAGAAGTAAGCAAGAAGGCATATATATATAGTGATCACAGTACAAGTAAGGTCAAGAGGTAAGCAAGTGAGGCCCAGTAGGTACAAGGCCTAGCAGAGTGCAAAAGCGCTGATGGTCACAAGGCTGAAGCGCCTTGGTGAACACATCAGCAGTGTTGGCCTCCGTGGCCACGTAACGCAGACAAAGCTGACCACGCTGCTGCAGCTCTCGAGCAAGGAAGTACCGCAGAGCGATGTGCTTCGTTCTGTGCTCCAGTCTGTGCTCCTCACACAAGGCAATGGCAGCCTTGTTGTCGACGTACAGCACTGGAGGAGAACGAGGCCGCTCTCCGAGGTCGGTCAGCAGGTAGGTCAGCCAGCGTAGCTCCTGAGCAGCCATGGCTGTGGCGTAGATCTCAGCCTCACAACTGGAGCTGAGAACAGAAGAAGAGCGAGTAGAACGCCAAGAAACTGAGCCAGAGCCAAGGCTGAAGGTGTAACCCTGGGACGACCGCTGAGTAGCCTGGTCGTCTGCCCAAGAAGCGTCTGAGTGCCCTGTGAGAACAACCCGGTCTCGCCCTCCAAGCACAAGCCCCATGCCCGACGTACTGCACAAGTAGCGCAACACCCTCTTAGCAGCATCCATGTGCTCCTTCCGGTGACGGCCAGGAGCGACATAGCGTGCTAGGATGCTAAGAGGGTATGCAAGGTCAGGTCGAGTGCAGGTCATCAGGTACATGAGGCAGCCCACAAGCTCTGGATACGGGCCACTCGGCTCTACGGACTCATCCGAAGGCAGAGCTGAGAGCGAGTGACCGGTAGGCAGAGGAGTGGACTGAGGCGAGGAGTACGTGAAGCGGAAGCGCTGGAGGACCTGCTGCACCATGTGTGACTGAGTCAGGGTGATGGTGCGCCGTGCTCTGTCCCGGGTGATCCGCAAGCCAAGATAGCTCGTCAGCTCACCCAGGTCTGTGCACGTGTATCTCCTCTGCAGCTCCGACTTCACGTGAGCGAGTGCCGCGGTGTCAGCAGTGGCAAAGACCAAGTCGTCGACGTACACGAGGATGTAGAACGGCGGCAGCGAGGTGTCGGTGCGTAGAAACAGCGACGGGTCAGCAGTAGAGGGAGCGAACCCAAGAGCCGCAAGTGTCGTCCTCAGTGTGTCGTGCCACTCACGTGGCGCCTGGCGGAGACCGTAGACCGGCCGCTGAAGCCTCCACTGGGTGCCAGGAGGAAATGACCCAGTGAAGCCAGGGGGGCGGCGCAGCCAGATCTCCTCGTGCAGGCTGCCCTGCAAGAAAGCAGTGCTGAAGTCAAGAGAGTGAAGCTCGTAGTCGCGGTGAGCGGCTATGTGCAGCAGCACCCGAAGAGTAGTCATCTTCGGGGTGGGGGAGAAGGTCTGAAAGAAGTCTACTCCCTCTCGCTGACTGAAGCCTCGAGCCACGTAGCGCGCCTTGAAAACAGGCGGAGAACCCGGCGGCCGCTTCACCCTGAAAATCCACATGCCACTGACAATGTTCGCCCCAGGAGGGGGAACCTCGTCTACGTAGGTGCCTGTGGACTTCCAGGAGGCCATCTCTGCGTCCATGGCTGTCTGCCACTGAGAGGAGTAGGGACCCGCCATCGCCTCAGCGTAAGAGCGTGGGGTCGGGATGTCTGGTGCATCCGGGTCTCCCTCAGGGGCAACTAGCAAGGACACGAGACGGGGCAAAGCAGCAGCAAGGCAGTGGAACTCCTCCTGTCTGTCCTCAAGGACGTCCGTGCCGAGGGCACACTCACCCCCGACGGACGGAGGACAGGCAGACGCAGACTCAGACCTAGCGACAAGGCTGGCAGCGTAGTCTAGGCGACAGCGAGCAGCAAAGTCAACCAACTCAGCGACCAGGGCAGACGCAGCAGAGGACTTTAAGGTCAGGTCAGTGACAACTGTAGCGAGGAGACGCGTAACAGTGGGACTGGCAGCACGACGGGAGTCAGACTCCGGGTCAGGAAGAGTAGGAAGAGAGGACGCAGGAGGAGACGGCAGCGGAACACGCTGAGGAGCAGTGGAGGGACGCAGAGTCATGTAGTGAGTGCCAGGGACAGGAGGAGGACGCTCACGTGGGACACGACGACCAGTGCGAGCAGTACGAACAGGCGACGCAGGACGAGACTCAGGCTCACGACGCTCTGTAAGACCTCCTGTGGGACCAGCGTAAGGGGAGGGAGCAGGGAGAGGCGAGACAGGCGGTAACTGTGACTGCGGCTGGACAGGCAGAGGACACTCGACGGAGGGAGGAGGACAAGGAGGAGGAGCCTGACCAAGAACCTGCTGAAGGAGCGGTACGAAGTACGGTCGCGGCCGCGCAGCGTCTCCAGAAGCAGCAGGGACACCAGTGGCAGCCCCAACGCCCGAGTCCTCAGCACCAGCAGCAGCTCCAACGCCCGAGTCCTCAGCACCAGCAGCAGCACCACCGGTCGGGTCCTCAGCACCAGCAGCAGCTCCAACGCCCGGGTCCTCAACACCAGCAGCAGGGCCACTGGTCAGGTCCTCAGCACCAGCAGCAGCTCCAACGCCCGGGTCCTCAGCACCAGCAGCAGCTCCAGCCCCCGGGTCCTCAGCACCAGCAGCAGCTCCAGCGTCCGGGTCCTCAGCACCAGCAACAGCACCACCGCTCGGGTCCGCAGTACCAGGAGCACCACTACGAAGACTGCAGCGCCGCGTGTACCACTCGCGGATCACCTGAATGGGGGGGAGCTCCTGGGTAGGAGGGGAAGTACCGGGACGAGCTCCAGAAGCACCTCTCCGGAGGCGGCAGTACTCGAGGTACCTCTCCTGCAGCTGCTGGGAGGAGGGGTCTCCTCCAGGTGGAGCACGCTCAGGCTCAGCACCCCCAGACTCAGCACCTCCAGGCTCCGCACCTCCAGGCTCCGCACCTCCAGGCTCAGCACCCCCAGGCTCCACACCTCCAGGCTCAGTACCTCCAGGCTCCGCACCTCCAGGCTCCGCACCTCCAGGCTCAGCACCCCCAGGCTCCGAACCTCCAGGCTCAGCACCCCCAGGCTCCACACCTCCAGGCTCAGTACCTCCAGGCTCCGCACCTCCAGGCTCCGCACCTCCAGGCTCAGCACCCCCAGGCTCCGCACCTCCAGGCTCAGCACCCCCAGGCTCCGCACCCTCAAACGCAGCACTCCCAGGCTCAGCACCCCCAGACGCAGGACGCGAGTCAACAGCTACCTCGACAGGCTCACCCGGGTCTACCTGGGACACACCTGAGGGAGCGGCACCCTGAGGGGGGAGGGGGTCTGGTACCTCAGCACCTGGAGCGAGGAAGAGAGGTGGGGGGGGGAGCGGGGCAGTGCGGTAGGGGAAGAGGCGGTAGAAGGGGACGGACTCGTCAAAAGTGACGTCCTGAGAGGCCAGAACCCGGCGCGAGGTGACGTGGTAAAACTGCCATCCAGGCGCGTCGGGAACAAAGCCAAGAAAGACACAGGGAACAGTGCGACGCGAGAGCTTGTCCGCGGACGTGTCGCGGACAAAAGCTCGAGATCCCCAGACCCGGAAACGCGACGCATCGCCAACCTCTCCCGTCCACCGTAGAGTCGGGGAAGTCTCCGGCAAGGAGACACGGGGCCAGAGGTTGAGCTGATGCGCTGCGTACCGGACCGCAAACGGCCACAGAAAGTGGGGAGCAGCCGCATGGGTCAGGGAGGTACGAGCGACCTCCATGACTAAGCCAATGCGGCGCTCAGCAACCCCATTCTGCTGTGGAGAGGCCGGAAGCGTGTACGACTGCTCAATGCCGTGCTCAGCACAGTAGGCTGCCAAGAGGTCGGAGGCGAACTCACCACCCCTGTCAGAGTGCAAGCGCAGGACAGGAAAGTCCGAGTGAAAGCGCTCGCCTAGCTGGAGACGGGCTCGGCTGATCCAGGGGATCAAAACACCAGGGACGTCACCCTTGGCGCGCAAGGGGAAGACCGTGGTGTAGCGCGAGTAGTCGTCAACAACTATCAGGAAGTACCTCTCCTGACCCTGACCACGGACGCGGGCCGGGCCCCACACGTCCATGTGGAGCGTCTGCAGGGGAGCGGTCGTCGGGGGAAAGGAGGAGGAGTGAGGAGCGGCGCGCTGCCGCCCCTCGACACAGGGAATGCAGTCAGGAGCAGGGGAGTCAGGAAGGGGAGGGAGCACCCTGGGAAGACCAGCAACAAGGTCCCGTTTGTGCATGGCCCGCAGGCGCTGCACAGACGGGTGACCAAGGCGGTGGTGCCAGAGGACGGTGTCGTTCGCCAGAGAGCGACACGAGCAGGGGGCGGACAGCTGACCTGACGCTGACGCAGACGCAGCTACCTGAGGGGACTCAGTGGTCAGTGTGTACAGGTCAGACCCCGGCTCTCGAGTGAAAGTAGCTAGGTGGCGGCCCGTCCGAGCACACGTGCAGTGAGTCACACGCTCGTAGGCAGGGGTGAACTGGTGAACACCCGAGTCCTGGAGCGCACTACCTGCCACCAAGTTCGTGGAGAACGAGGGGAGGTAGAGACCTGAGAGCGTGCCGGACGGAACCGCTGGACACGGAAGGGTGGTGGAGGAGGTCGCAAGGACCGGACCCCCAGAGGGGTCAGCAAGAGAGACAGCAACCGGCCGAGCTAGAGGCTCAAGGACAGTGCGGTCACGAAAGAAAGAGCGAGAAGCACCTGAGTCCAGTGTGAAGGTGTGCAGTGCTGCAGTCGACTCAGTACCAGGGGGCACAGACGCACAAGCACCTAGAGCAGCAGCTGCAGAAGTACCTGCGGAAGCAGACACACTAGCACCTAGAGCAGCAGCGGGGCTGGCCTGAATGCCCGGGTCGGGCGGAACACGCAAGTACTGAGCACCCTCTCCACTAATAGACATCGCATACATGGCAGTGAGAATAGCATCAAAGTCAAGTGCCCAAATATCAACACCCTTCCTGAGCAGATCAGCCCAGCGCGGCAGCTCACCCCCACCAGGAAACTGAGTGCGCCACGCATCGTTGAGGCGGGCGAAGCAGCGCTCCGTCTGGTGCGGCCCCCCACACGTCTGGCCAGTGCGGTCACCTGTACGAATAACGTACTGACAGGTGACGCTGCGCCGCGCATACCACTCACGGGCGGCCTGAAGGGTCGGGGCAGGCTGCTGACTCTGACCGCCCCCCGGGCCTCCACGACCACCACCCCCTCCGCCTCCGCCCCGGCCACCTCCACCCCTGCCGCTGCCACGACCACCTCCGCCTCCGCTGCCACCTCCGCCCCTGTCACCACTCCCAACACCGCTGTCACCTCCACCACCGCCGCCACTAGCCTCTCCAGTCGCACCTCCACCGCCACCACCTCCACCCCCGCCTCCTCCGCCACCACCCCCACTCCTGCCACTCCTGCCCCTGCGTCGTCCGCCTGAAGCAGACGCAGCCCCGACCTTCTCAGCACCAAGGAGGTCGACAGCAGCAGCAGAGGCGACAGAGGGGAGGAGGGGGGAAGGGGAGCACCCCTCGAAGAAGGGGCCGCGGGGGTCGCCACGAGAGGTGCCTACAGCGACGATACTAGCCTCGGCTGCAAGCAGTTCCTTCTCGAGGAGGGCTATGGTGAGCTCAGTGGGGGAGCGAGAGAGGAACTGGTCCCTGACAGGGCGCAGAGAGTCAGGGAGGCGGGTGACAACGTGGTAGAGAGTGATCCAGAGCGGGGGGGGGTTGCTAGCGAGGAACTCATCAGGCATGGCAGCGCGAAAGCGAGCCTCACTAGTCTTAAGGTGGGTGATGAGGTCTGCGACAGTGTGAAAAGAGGCTAGGTCGGGGAACAGGTAGGGGAGAGTGAGGCGGCCTAGTGTGGCAGAAGCGGGTGAGGAGTAGCGGGCCACTACAGCTGTGTAGAGGTCCTTAGCAGTCTTGCACTGGCCGAAGTGCTCGCGCTCATCTAGCGGCAGGGAGTTGCGAATAGCAAAGCGAGCGTGCGCGTCACGGGTCTGCCACTGTGAGCGCTCAGCTGGGGGGGCAGTAGCGAGTGGGGCGGTCGCATGGCCGAGAGCGTGGTCGTACAGTGTAATATCTTCCTTGGCAGTGAGCTGTAGGAAAAGGTGCAGGTCATCTAGCCAGGTTTCGAATTTGACCGGACGGCCCTCGGCGTCGAAAGCTAGAACAGGAGGACTAGCCATAGCGACAGCGGCAGTAGTAGAAGCAGTAAAGTCACTGAACAGGCGTGCGCAGGGTCAGCAGGGCCGGTGGGGCCTACGGACTGTAGTGGCGCACAAGCAGCAGTAGTAGGAAGTGTAGTAGTAGGATCTGCAGTGGTGCACAGGCGCAGCAGGCGGCAGCGAGAGCCGGCGCAGCAGGGGCGGGCTCAGCAGCGGTGATACGCAGGCGGCAGCGGGCGCAGCAGCGGCGGTGCGCGGGCGGCGGCGGGCTCAGCAGCGGCGGTGCGCGGGCGGCGGCGGGTTCAGCAGCGGCGGTGCGCGGGCGGCTGCGGGCTCAGCAGCGGCGGGCCGGGAGCAGTGCGGGCAGCGTGCGGGCCGGCGGCGGTCAGCGCACGAGCCGCGCAGGCTCAGCGCGGGCTGTGCGGGCTGCTCGCGGGCTGCGTAAGCGGGTCGCGGGCGGCTCGCGGGGGTTCGCGGGCAGGTCGCGGGCTGCTCGCGGGCAGTTCGCGGGCTGTGCGCGGGCTGCGCGGGCTGGTCGCGGGCTGTGCGCGGGCGGTTCGCGGGCTGTGAGCGCGGCGCGCTGTGCGGTTCGCGGGCGGCGTGACGGGGCCGATCGGGGCGCTAAGGGGCGACGCGACGGGGGCCGTGAGAGGCCGCTAGGAAAAAAAAAAAAAAAATATTTCGACGGGGCCGCAGGGCCGCTAGATCGTGCTAGATCGACGGGGCCAGCGGGGCCGGAAACAAGCGAAGGTAAGCAGGTAGGTAAGTCGGTGGGCCCTAAGAACAGTCCTAGCGAAGGACCTGCTCTGAAACCATGTCAGAAATAACTGAGCAGGAATGAATGAACTAGAACAGAGTTTGGTACAAGTAGGAAACCCTAACTTTGTGTACCCCCTAAGGTGTAACCCACTACAGCCTAGACAATATAAACATGCAATGTTTGACACAATAGGTGTACATGAACATGTGCCACACGAATATGCCATAAACTTCAGGTTGCTCAACGCTCTTCCCTACGCTTTTGGGGATTCGTGTGCATTCTATGCATTTGTCGCCCAAAACGGCCGAAATCGTGGGCGCCGAACTTTTCTTCACGCACGAACCAAGCCGAAAATGCTCCAGGAGATGTATTTGAACATGTGCCACTTGAATATGCCATAAAGTTCAGGTTGCTCAACGCTTTTCCCTACGCCTTTGGGGATTCGTGCGCATTCTATGCATTTGTCGCCCAAAACGGCCGAAATCGTGGGCGCCGAACTTTTCTTCACGCACGAACCAAGCCGAAAATGCTCCAATAGGTGTACTTGAACATGTGCCACTCGAATATGTCATTATGTTTAGGTTGCTCAACGCGTTTCCCTACGACTTTGAGGATTCGTGCGCATTCTATGCATTTGTCGCCCAAAACGGCCGAAATCGTGGGCGCCGAACTTTTCTTCACGCACGAACCAAGCCGAAAATGCTCCAATAGGTGTACTTGAACATGTGCCACTCGAATATGCCATAAAGTTCAGGTTGCTCAACGCTTTTCCCTACGCCTTTGACGATTCGTGTGCATTCTATGCATTTGTCGCCCAAAACGGCCGAAATCGTGGGCGCCGAACTTTTCTTCACGCACGAACCAAGCCGAAAATGCTCCAATAGGTGTACTTGAACATGTGTTACTCGAATATGCCATAAAGTTCAGGTTGTTCAACGCTTTTTCCTACGCTTTTGGGGATTCGTGCGCATTCTATGCATTTGTCGCCCAAAACGGCGAAAATCATGGGCGCCGAACTTTTCTTCACGCACGAACCAAGCCGGGAATGCTCCAATAACTGTACTTGAACATGTGCCATAAAGTTCAGGTTGTTCAACGCTTTTCCCTACGCCTTTGGGGATTCGTGCGCATTCTATGCATTTGTCGCCCAAAACGGCCGAAATCGTGGGCGCCGAACTTTTCTTCACGCACGAACCAAGCCGAAAATGCTCCAATAGGTGTACTTGAACATGTTTTACTCGAATATGCCATAAAGTTCAGGTTGTTCAATGCTTTTCCCTACGCCTATCGTTGTCGTCCAAAACGGCTGAAATCGTGGGTGCCGAACTTTTCTTCACGCACGAACCAAGCCGAAAATGCTCCATTAAGTGTATTTGAACACGTGCCACTCGAATATGCCATAAAGTTCAGGTTGCTCAACGCTTTTCCCTACGCCTTTGGGGATTCGTGCGCATTCTATGCATTTGTCGCCCAAAACGGCCGAAATCGTGGGCGTTGAACTTTTCTTCACGCATGAACCAAGCCGAAAATGCTCCAATAGGTGTACTTGAACATGTGCCACTCGAATATGCAATAAAATTCAGGTTGCTCAACGCTTTTCCCTACGCCTTTGGGGATTCGTGCGCATTCTATGCATTTGTCGCCCAAAACGGCCGAAATCGTGGGCGCCGAACTTTTCTTCGCGCACGAACCAAGCCGAAAATGCTCCAATAGGTGTACTTGAACATGTGCCACTCGAATATGCCATAAAGTTCAGGTTGCTCAACGCTTTTCCCTACGCCTTTGGGGATTCGTGCGCATTCTATGCATTTGTCGCCCAAAACGGCCGAAATCGTGGGCGCCGAACTTTTCTTCGCGCACGAACCAAGCCGAAAATGCTCCAATAGGTGTACTTGAACATGTGCCACTCGAATATGCCATAAAGTTCAGGTTGCTCAACGCTTTTCTCTGCGCCTTTGGGGATTCGTGCGCATTCTATGCATTTGTCGCCCAAAACGGCCGAAATCGTGGGCGCCGAACTTTTCTTCGCGCACGAACCAAGCCGAAAATGCTCCAATAGGTGTACTTGAACATGTGCCACTCGAATATGCCATAAAGTTCAGGTTGCGCAATGCTTTATCCTACGCCTTGGGGGATTCGTGCGCATTCTATGCATTTGTCGCCCAAAATGGCAGAAATCGTATTCGACGAACTTTTTTTCACGCACGAACCAGGCCAAAAATGCTCCAATAGGTGTACTTGAACATGTGCCACTCGAATATGCCATAAAGTTCAGGTTGCTCAACGCTTTTCCCTACGCCTTTGGGGATTCGTGCGCATTCTATGCATTTGTCGCCCAAAACGGCCGAAATCGTGGGCGCCGAACTTTTCTTCGCGCACGAACCAAGCCGAAAGTGCTCCAATAGGTGTACTTGAACATGTGCCACTCGAATATGCCATAAAGTTCAGGGTGCTAAACGCTTTTCCCTATGCCTTTGGGGATTCGTGCGCATTCTATGCATTTGTCGCCCAAAACTACGGAGATAACTCTAGTAACGGGAGCTAGACTACGGGCTAGGCACGGATGCTCGTGTGATCTCTGCGTTTGTTGGTCCTTAGTCGTTTTCCTAGTGCACACACTGCTTGCTAGTTCACAAGGCAATTTGGCAAGAGTTTCACTAGAGAAAGTTGACAACAATGATACAATGAAGTTGGCAACACAAGGCTACATCAGAGCTAGGATGCAAGCAGATCGACTGCCAGCGCAGCACGGTCGACCGCGTGCCAGCACGACTTGGTCGACCGCGCTCCAACAGTGCAGAGACGCGGCTTGCCAACGCTGCAGGTCGACGGCGTGACAACAGCGCAAGTCGACGGCGTGCCAGCGTTGCTCCCGCAGGACAGCAGCGCACCAGCTTCGCAGGTGCTCGTAGGCGATTGGCGCGCACTGCTTCGTCACCTGCACAGCGCACACACCAAGTCCACCTCGTGCTGACGACCGCACCTCATCCGCCAGGTCGACCTCGGGATACCACCACCGAGGTCGTCCTCGCCAACTTCGCCTGGGCGACCTTCGCGTGCCTTCGCAGACCCTCGTCACCCAGGTAACCTGGTCGACCGGGCAACCACGTCGACCAGGTGCTCCTGTGCGTGCCCGTCGACCTCCCAAGTCGACGACCACTCCAAGTCGACCTCACCAGGTCGACCACTACTCCCTGGTCGACCAGCTCTAGGTCGACGTCACTCCTGGTCGACCAGAGGGTCTGGTCTCCTGAAGTCGGCGCCCATGCAGTGGCTCCCCGTGCAGGTCGACCAACCTCGTCGACCGACTCGCCCACTACTGCAGGTCGGCTGCACCCTACACCCGACCACGAAGTCGGCTCCGCCCAAGCGAGGACGGGGCCAACACCCAACTCCCGTTGACACTCCCCTGCCGCGTTCACGCTTGGGCCCCCCAGCCCACACGGCAGCACCTCTCGGAGAACAGCTCGTCGACGTGCACCCAACACACAGCACGTCGTCCACCGCACCAGCCATGCAGGAGGGCATGGCACCTACTGCTGCACGTCGTCGTCGCCGCCGCCCACGTCGGCCAGACGCACTTGGCCGATGGCGACGGAGCACCGGTTGAAGGCCGGATAGTGCAGCGCCTTTGTGAGGAAGTCGGCCGGCTGCTCAGCGGTCGGGATGTATTGCAGCGCAAACTTCCCCCGCTTCACCATGTGCTGCAGCCAGGCCTGTCGCCGCTCCATGTGCTTGAGGTTGCCCGTCAACCCCATGCCCTCGGCGACTGTGATGGCCGACTTGTTGTCCACCCGAAGGACGGTCGGCTTCCCAGCATCGAGCTGCTGGAACTCTGCGAGGAGGAAGCGAAGTCGGCGTCCCTCCTTGCCGGCTTCGACGGCCGCCACGTACTCCGACTCGGTCGACGACAGCGTCGCGCACTTGATGCGCTGGCTCGACCAGGAGACCGCGGCCCCTCCGTAGACGAACACGTAGCCGCCCGTGCTCGTCCTGCTCTGCTTGTCACCGGCGTCGTCGGCGTCCACGTAGCCGACCAGCTCCAGCGACTCAGGTCCACCGCCAAACTCCAGGGCGGTGTCACGCGTGTTGGCGAGGTAGGCGAGGCAGCGGTCGACCTCGCGCCAGTGCTGGTCGCTCCTCACCGTGAGGCCGCTCCCCAGCTTGCTGCAGGCGAAGGCAATGTCCGGCCTCGTCGTCGTCGCCGCGAACTGCAGCGAGCCGACCTTCTGCCGGTACTCCTCCTCCTGTCGCTCCTGCG